CATCCAGCCATCCATTTTCAGACACGCTTAAACCCAAGTGGGATCAGTGCTGGTGCCTATCTCCAGCTGTATACGGGCGAGAGGCGGTGTACACCCTGGACAGGTCCCTTCACAAACTAATGAAATACTATTTTATAAAATCATCTGTGTAAACAAACCTCGTCATCACTTGAAAACGATATGTGATGTAAAACCTTAATCCTTTATTGTCCCACGATGAGGAAATTCTCTCTCTGCATTTAACCCATCCCCTATGGGAGCAGTCTGGGCTTAAGGGTCTTGTTCAGGGACCCAGAGTGGCAGTCTGTGGGAGTGTGTGTGTCATGAGCTCAGAACATAGTACCCAGAACTCAAGGCAAGACAGACAGCGGGATATTTCAAAGGTGTTTATTTAAAACATAAGATCAGGTGGATCTGCGGATTTGCAGTGGCTGCGCACCGCCCATCCCTGGAAACTCTGGTTGGAGAAAAACACAGGTAAGTGACCCTGATATTCTGACGATTATTCATGCGAGTCAGTTCAGTTTATCAGTTCAGTCTATTTCCATCGAACGTAGTAGGATCTAGCCGGAGGGTTGCCAACTAGAGAACCAGTGTTGATGAATTATATGTCTGTTAATACTATAATTTTTTCCTACTTGTAAATTATGCATGCATGATGCTATATACTTTTATTCTGTGTCTGTGCATTAACCTTTAAAAATGTTTTTGTTCCTTTTTTTCCTTCAATATAACATGCAATATATTTCAGCACATGACTTTTTCAAATGAGAAATAAAACAAAAACTTCAAAAACAGCAGCATCATCCACTTAATATAGAATTACTACATTGGCATTTCACAGTGAATTACTTCTATTTACTCTACTTTCTATTTTAGATAGCCAGACTAATGTTACGCTACATACTATACTATGGGATACATCGTTTATATGTGAAATGTCTTCCCACAGCCAGCAATTGCTTGTTTTTGCAGCCAGAGTCTACACACTTACAGCTTTTACTGTACATCTCTGTGGGAGTCGGGAGTACCAATATGGCGGCCGTTGGCTTCACTTTTTTCAGGCTATCAGCAATCCAGTGAATAAATAGAGATAAGTGGTCTCCACCCACACCCCCACCCCATTACCCTGTTGATTAGCCCCTGACTATTGCTGCAAGTGTTTGCAGCAGAACCAGGCTCAGGGAAAGGCAGCAATAAATCCTATTAGGCCCTGAAGGTGTTTATCATAACTTTAATAGCGTTAAATACAGAATGAAAGTTAAGAATGTTCTGACTAGAACATGGAACGTCTTCATGAGCTAAGATTCTTAAAACACGTTTTTATATTTCAGTTTTACTGAGAAAGAAAATGGCTTTCCATAGTTTTAGTTTTGGTGTGGTTGTTTTTTTTTTTTTATACAAGCTAGCCTTAACATTCCAACACAACAGGCTGCTACAGTTAAGACACAGTTAAGTAAAGTAAAAGCAGCAGGATATTAAGCCATTGATTAAAAATTTAGTAATAAAAAACTATGATTTATGTATGTGTGTTATAATAGCTTATACGTTTCTACAGGATGTATTTATAATGCATAAAAATTGTCCCAATGTTCTGTACCAAAAGTTTCTTATCTGATAAACTTTTCAGTTTGTCGTTGACAATTCAAAGGTTCTTCAAACTTGGAAATTTCAAACCCACATAAGAAAATAACATCAAATATTGCAATGTTTTTCTAACCTGTGGATTGTGCAATTTCTTTTTCAAATATCACTGTAAATGTAAAAGAAAGCTTAACTACAGTGAAAAACACTCCACAATGTGACTTGTTTTATTTCTATAATGAATTAATGGTATTTTTTAAAGAATATTTCTTAAGGAAACTCCCTGAAAAACCTATTTCATATTCTCCATTTGCTCCAGCGACATAAGTTAGCCTCTCTTTCAGATCATTTGCTTCGTGGGACCCATTGTTAAATGTCACCAAAGGAATTGAAAAGACAGCAAGTTTCTCACTCTCCATTTTAATTGGCTGGCTCTTAAGTACAGCTATTGGCCTTTCTGAGCAGGGTAATGGCACACATGTGTGGTGAACAAATTGGGTCTTCTCAGCAAATGTCTCAGGAGGGAGACCAGTCGAGGAAATGAATACATTTACGTAACAACCAGGTAAAGTAACAGAAAGTCTAACAACAAGCTAATGTTCAAAATACAATCTATGTGAGGCACAGATGGTATGAAAAAAAGCTTGGCTTAGAGGATGACCAACGTGGACAGCAGAACATAAATGATGTCACAGAAAAAAAAATACTGTGAAGATAATGAGCAGCACAGAACAGAGGTGTGCAAGTGATGTGCAAACAGCTCAGTCAGAAAGTAGGGAGCATTTTTTATTTTATTTTTTGTCATGGAACCAGAGTCTGATAAATATAGCAAGGACACAGCACAGAAAAAAGCAGAAGAATAAATAGCACCAGAGAAAACCCCTTCTGAAACGTTTGTGTAAAGTAAAACATTCATGCACGCCTAGCTAAAACAGATCAGTGAAACGAGATACTATTTAAAGTATTTATTCATAATAAGGGTAATTCGTTCAGGAAAAAACAAAACAAAAAATTACAATTAAATAGTCAGAATTGTGAAACCTCAAAGAAAACGCACATATCACCCTAAACAGATCATCTCCAGAGAAAAGTATGTTGTTGGCAGGATCATGCTGAGGGAGGCTTGTGTGTAGATTAACTACATGGCGATCTTAAAAAAAAAAAA